TTTCAACATTTATTCAATAATTTATTTTTCAATTCCCCACTACCCTCACTACCACCGACAAGTTGAAACTTTTTTATCAACATTTATTCAAGAATTTATTTTCAATTCCCCACTACCCTGAGTTCTACCATTTATATACAAATCAATACACATCTTTATTTTTAAAATTTAAATTATTACTACTTTTACTACCTTCTATTTACCTCACATAAAGCTAATGTGAAAAATAAGGCATTTTATACATACAGCGTTTGGCGCCCCCCTGTAGTTTTTTTTTGTCCCAGAGTTCTCATTTTTGACATTATCACCGTGAAATTTTGTGACTTTTCAAGAATAGTAATTTAAAGGATTTTTGTGAAAAAATATTTTTTTTTGAATTTATAGGGTAGGGTACAGGGCGGAAAAAAGTCCGGTCTGTGAAAAAAAATCGAAAACAAAACAAAATTTTTTTCTTCATTTTTCTGACCTTTTATAGGCATTTTTTTCCACCCTCCCTAGCACCCAAACTATTAAAGTTATCGGTCTAATTTTTTTCTATGAGCTGGCCATAAAAAATTGGGCTATGAACATGCATTTCACTCCTATACATATTCTCTAAGGCCTTTTTCTAGGGGGGGCGTTTCCTATACATATTATCTAAGGCCTTTTTCTAGGGGGGGGGGCGTCGAACGCCCCCGGGCTATACATAGATTCAGACCCCCCCCCCCAGCCATTATAGGGTTAAAGATAAACAAAAGTTGCGGCTACAAAACTTCCAATTATCGTTTTAGATAAAAGGTTTTCAGTTGACCATAAATTTGATACTTTCTTGACAAAATTTGTTGCATGACTTGAGGAAGTTAGTCACACTGCCCCGGAAGCGATTTCGAAAAAGTTTTAAGGTCCATCTCTTTTCTTTTCTATAAGATGAATGAAACACATGGGAATACAATGTTTTTATTAAAATATTTTATCGGGCCCATTGGATTTTACGGCCAAAATAGTGCTGGATCTAAATTAGAGCACGTATAGTTTTTGGATTGTATTGCAATTGCATTGATTTATAGATAATTTCAGTTCTCATTTTTTTCCCTATAAATGGAGAATGTTTTGGAAAATTGTGTTAGAAAAAAGGAAAAAATTTTGTGATCTGTTTTAATCCTTGTTTACAAAAACATATTTTCCATTTTATCCAACAAACATTAAATGTACATAGAATCTTTTGCCTGGCCTTCACAGGATTATACTGACATAACACCTTTTGTTATTTTAAATATTTTAAGAACTTTAGCTGTACCTTTTGTATCTTTATGTCAAAGGAATTTTACATTACAATTACAATAGTTTGCTTTTATAAACTTTCCCAATTTTTGGACCAGTGTGACTCTTTTCCCCAATGTTTGAACCAGTGTGACCCATTATCTCAATTTTTGGATCATTGTGACCCTTTTCAGTTCTAAGATTTCTTTTTGTTTATAAGAAAAAAAATATAATTGATTGTGTATATCAGAAATCTGCATTTGACAGTTTATTTTACGTAAGTAGAGAGATCAGCTAGACATAGTACTAGAGCTAAGAGTGCAGTATTGTAGAGAAATTGTTCAGAATTATTTTTAGACGTTTTTGCGGTATATATTCAAAAGCAACAGTGCAAATTCAATATTTAAAATTCTCCCGGATTGTCCATTCTGGAAAGATGATTTTGATAATCGTCTTTTTAACGAGTGTATCTGTTAACAACAACTGCTACGTAGAACCTAGAATGAAGGTACCTGTTAAAAACAACTGCTACTTATAACCGTAAAATGAAGGTACCTGTTAACAACAACTGCTACTTATAACCGTAGAATGAAGGTACCTGTTGACAACAACTGCTACGTAGAACCGTAGAATGAAGGTATCTTTTAACAACAACTGATATGTAGAACTAGAATACTAGAACAAAGGTACCTGTTAACAACAACTGCTGCCTAGAACCAGATAGAAGAAAGGTACATGTTGACAACAACAACTGCTGCGTAGAATACTAGAATGAATGTACCTGTTAACAACTACTGCTAATTAGAACCCTAGAACGAAGGTACCTGTTAACAACAACTGCTGCCTAGAACCAGCTAGAACGAAGGTACCTGTTGACAACAACTGCTGCGTAGAATACTAGAATGAATGTACCTGTTAACAACTACTGCTGCGTAGAACCCTAGAACGAAGGTACCTGTCAAAACAACTGCTGAGTAGAACCCTAGAATGAAGGTACCTGTTAACAACAACTGCTACGTAGAACCCTAGAACGAAGGTACCTGTTAACAACAACTGCTACGTAGAACCCTAGAACGAAGGTTATAGGAATCAGATCTCCAAATTCCCGGCAGTGACGACTCACGGTCTCAAATGAACTCTGAAAATAAACAGAACATATGGAAAACATAGAAAAAATTGTAAACAAAAGAACAAACTAGATAAATACAGAAAAATACACGAAATACGGTTTACACGGATTAACTTTCTCAGAAGACCTAACTATTATTGAAATCGTATATAATTTTATCAAGATTATTTGAAAGCATTTTGATGAACTGCAGTCAGAGGAGAAGTCTTTATTTTATCAAATGAATTGATAATTGAATTCTGGCAACATAATCGTGCATACTTTCAATATTTCAAACCTTCACTTTTTTTACATAAAAAAAGAATTTTTTTTCTTTAAAAAAAATTTGCTTAGCCCAATATTTCTGCATTCTTTGAAATTTCAAACTTGATCAAAATAATTCATCCAAACTCAAAGGTCTACTGCAATAAATTGCAAAAAATAGGAAATCAAAAATCAGATTTTGGTGCAAAAGCTCAATTCTAATTTCTATTTTGAAATAATGTTTAAACTCTACAAAATCAGATTGGTATTACATATTGTTTAAAGCGAGTAATCAGTTCTTAATAAATATAAATCTGATAAAGTTACAATACGACGTTCACTTTTTTGTAGATGTTTATAAAAAAAAAAACATTACTACATTTATTGATTGCATAATGCAGATATTCCATCAAGTTCTGGACCCAAAGGTTTCGGAGCTAAATTTATTAATCGTTCAATGACTTTTATAAAACCTACAGGGTGAGCCTAAAAAACAGGGATTAGGGTTTTTATTCATTAAACTTTCGCTTAAAAGACTCGATAGTAGGCTCTAGCATTTAGTTTTTATTTAAAAAATATTCCAGTGTGTGTCTTCTGATGATGCTTCCATTCAGAGAAATATTATAACGATTTTTGTTGGGGTCACCCTGTATAAATAAAAAAACGTTTTTGAGCCTTTTAGACTCAATAGAAAGGTCTTACAAGCTTTGACAACGCTGCCCATCAGATACATCATTGAGCAATCAAAAAGATAAGTTATTTTGCTATTTTTAAATTTTTATTATTCTTTAAATAATGCCTTTTAAATAGCTTTCGGAGCTAAACGCTTTGAAAGCCAGGAAAAAAAAAACACAATAACTTCTACATTATTGATCAGATAAAGGTATCAAGGGTACCGTTGTGAATCAGGTATTCCCATCTTTGCATGGAGGGTCACTTCAGATTACGCTTATATTCTTTAATTGATTAATTTTATACTTGCCCTGAGCTCCTCGTTGAGAATGAACCTATAAAGGAGAGAGAGAGAAAAGTAGAAAACCAAAAAGAAGAATAGGTTCGGCCACACCAACTAAAATCAACCAAAACATTAATCAAATTGATTTATTTCAAGAAAATGAACGAAACTGAATTTTTGCCACAAACTCATATTTTATAATCCGTTTACCTATGTAATTTAATATCGCAGACTTTAGAATATCTAAGGATTTAAGAACAAAGAAAAGTTGAGGTTGTTGTAAGAACTTAATTATTTTGATGTCTTTCCGTTTTACTGCAAAGGCACTATAGATCAGAGCTGGGCGTCGTTAAAACCACATTGTTCGAACAATTTACAAACACAGGAAGGGTGTCAGGGCATTTTCCCAGCGCAACTTCCTCAACGGCAATTTCCCCAACCACTAATTTCCCCTACACTAACTTCCCCAGTCACTGATTTCTCCAACAGCAATTTCCCCAGGCAGTAAAATAATATCCGGCAGAATTCTTGTGCTGACTTTGGAACGTTTGGTCTCTCAGCAGCAACCAGAGAGAAGCACTTCTGTGCATTTCTGATGCTAACTTTACCAGAACCGACCTGCCTGAAGAATATCAGGGTTGACCACAGCATTGCCAATATGCTGTTTTTCATTGGCGGAAGCTCCACACTTTGCAATTGCATGGTTTATATTATTATTATGGTTGTTGCAAAGTGATATGATTGTAAGTTATACTTATACTTATTTAGATCCACAAGAACATTTCTCTTCTCTGTGGCATTGTATAAACTGCTAGCTTGACAACTCTAATCCAACTGATTGGGGTTTTCACATTTGGAAAGTTGCGATTTTTTTATTTTTTATTGTGCATTTGATCATTGTAATAATGTTAAAAAAGGAAAATTTATTATTTTACTGCATGGGGAAATTGTTGTTGGGGAAGTTGCTGTTTTTATTGCATGGGGAAATTGTTGTTGGAGAAGTTGCTTCTGGGGAAATTAGTGATTGGGAAAATTGTTGTTGGAGCAATTGGCTGTTTGGAAAATTGCTGTTGGGGAAGTTGCGCTGGGGAAATAACCTAACCGTACACAGGAAGAATGTTCTTAAAGAAGCTGGAACATGCATAAATCAACGAAAAATTGTTCTCGTTAATGACCAACACATTTGTTAACGACACAAACCTAGTTAAAAATATGAATATTATGAATTTATTTAAATTTTATGGAACGGGAGGATTTTGAAAGGAACAACCGTGGAACGAATAATCTAGCTCAAGGCATGGAACTATTTTAAAAATCCAATCAAAAATAACAAAGGTTTACACCTTCAGGCTGTGTTGGTCTCTAAATCACTTGAGCTTTTTGTATTCCGCAGTTTGAAGTTTGAAATATCAATGGTTTTTACCATATTGTTGCAAAGATGTAGGGATAAGAAAATTAAAGTTTGTTCCGTTAAAAAAATTACATAGTCAACCCATTTTCAAAATGTATTTTTAGAAAAGTCTGGATTAAATCACGATTATGGATCTCTAATAGATTAGAAACAAATATAAATTCCCTAATTGAAAACCTCTCAGAAAGTTCACAAGTAAAAAAGTATGTAGATTTGTTTCTTAACAAACTTTTCCTGAACTTGATTTAGATTTCAAGCTAGACTGTAAATGTGATTCCAGATATTCCTCCATCCCTGACTCACAACAGTACCCTTCAAACCTTCGTCTGATCTAGTATGAATAAGATATTTATGTTTCTAAATTTGAAAACTGATAATTCTAATTGTAGTTTTTCTAAAACTGGGCTTTTGCATTTTTACTGCAGGAAAGCGTAAAGCAATAATCAAAATTAAACACTTTAAAAAAAGACAGTATTTTCCTCATTATTGATTGGATACAGGTTTCAAGAGTACCCTTGTGAATCTGGCATTGAAGATAAGGTGAAAGCACAATATATATATATATATATATATATATAAAATCGGGAAAAATGTAATGTACTAATCATAAAGCACTTTATAATAAAATGAATATGTTATTTTCTCTTTTATAAATTATTATAATGTCATATCATTTTGAAAACCCAGTTCAATTTGTTCTGTTGTGATCTAAAACTTTATGCATCGCTGATTCCATTATATTTTTTATGTGGTTTTTGGCCAATTGTCAAATTAGAGTTTTAAATTGTTATCATACAAAAAGTCAATTTTCATTTCTTGGACATGAACAGAAAGTCTAATAATTCCATTCCTGGCTAAAATTGTAAAAGTTGTCGATAGAAGATAAAACATATTACAAAAACAAACTTCGCTCTACCCATTTTTATAATATCGCAAAGTTTATCTAAAAGCAATTACGTTAACAGACAAGAGTTTTTGACAAAACGACCTAAAAAGATTTACAAGTTTCGTTTAGAAAATCTTATATTTTATTTCCATATTTATTTATACAATGAAATTGAAAAATTTGTCCGCAGAGAATAAAACTTTGACGACAAATTACAAATTAAAGCGTTATAATGTTAGTTGCGAACAGCAGTATTCCACATGGTTCGGTTTTCAACAACTGCAATTGTAAATGTTCCAAGCGATGGTTACCAATTAGAGTTTTAAAGAGAGATATAGAACTGGGTATAGCACATTTAGAACGAAACTCATTGTTAGCAAAAAGCTAAAAGTACAGTCGATCCGAATATGTAACCCTAACTAGTGACAGATGTTATTTTAAAAAATACTCAAACTTGACCTTTCAGCAGAGAACAAATAATATAATTGATTTTTATGGAAATAAATAAAGGATCAAAAGTCTGCGACATCAGGATGAAGAGGTCCAAGGATTAGAAAATAAGAATTTGTGGTGATTAATCAGAAATTTTCTTGGTAAAAAAAAATATAAAAATGGCTTCCTATTTAAAAGTACATGTACTTTAAAAGCATTTGTACTCTTGACCATTTTCCAGAGAACAAACAAAAAAAGTTTTTTTTTTTTGTGGAAATGAAAGTACAACTTTTTTAATTAATTTACAATTAAAAACAATGTCATAAAAGGTTGAACAAAATTCTGAAATGTTAATAAGAGGATTTGTCATGGGCATTTTTAATGAATACAGAAAAACATTTCGTTTCCTATCTATTTTACGATAGCAACTTGAATTAATTAATCTTTGGAATTTACCTTGTATATGCTTCCCCTCCATCTGAAGAGTAGTTTCCAGAATACCCCCAATCCTTTACAAGTTGCAACCTTCCAAACATTACAGGGTTCACAAGATTAGTTTCCAGAATACCCTTAAAGGGAGTGACCGGCTATGTAAGGTAGTTGAACTGAGGACGCAGTGTTGTGGAAAGCTGCGCTAGGATTCATTTGAGACATATAAAACTTTTTAAAGATCTGTAAATCCTGAGTTTGAGCGAAAATTCGACGTTCAAAACTCCTGAATTGCGGACGGCCATCTTACAGAATGAGTTTTTTTAAAATTATTAATTAACGACGACATAAAATGTAAAAAAGTTATATAATAAAAATATATAAGCCGAGGTTAGGAAAATTTTGAGAAAATAAAAATTAATTGTCATAATTAAAATAAAGGAAATATATTTTATTTTAAATTTATTTTAGTCATGTGAACGGTCCCTATTTTTCGACCCCTGATTTCGCGGTTTACATATATATGAAGACGACAATTTTCTCAATCAATTAATCATGTTTAAAATAAATTTTTCCAAGGAAAGAAATTCCTTTTAATTTAAAGTATAATATTTTATATAATTACCTATTACAGAAATCATTTCTGCATTATAAATTTATTTTATATTTATAGGTCCGCGGAACTTACAGAATTTACAATTTATTTTTTTCAACAAATTCTTTGAAACAAAAGATTTGATCAATCTTCTATATTTTCCCAATACAAAAGATTACCTTTACAAAACTGAAACTGTCCGGTTATATTTGAGAAAAATAGATTAAATGAATTGCAGAAACAATTTTAACTGACCCTCCATTGAACACTTGCAAATCCGAATAACCTTTAAAACGTTTGAATGATCAAGGAGTATCGATATATTCTAATTTTTCTAACAACAAATTGGTATCAGGGAATCTCGCATGTACATTACAATGTTGTTGCCCATAAATCTTATGCCGCGTAACGGTATCTTTACCACCCTCCTCATATATCGGAGTAATCTAAACCAAACAATTTTTACCAACACTACCTCCGTACTCCGACAAAGGAAAATAGATTAAATGAAACATTTTAACTAGTGAATACTTAAAATCCGTCAATAACCCTGCAATCCATAGCAATTTTACTTAAAGAACCGAGTTTCTTATTCCTAGATGTATTATCCAAATGTTTAAACTGACCCATTATTCATCACTACTTAATTACCCCCAAACACACTAATTTAGTAAGCTTATCTAATTGAACAGTAATTTTTATTCCCACTAAAACTGTATTTTATAGGTTTAAAATTTATTTATTTATTGAGTCTATGTGTTATGGAGGGCGTATACAATAATAAATCTGGGGGGGGGGGCAAAATGTGCGCGAAGCGCAAAAAAATTTGAATCGTGAATTCAAAACATTTTGCTTCTTGGATACTTGGGTACACATACACTATACAGTTCAATTAACATACAAAGACTACTTTATCTCTCCGTCAAACAAAACTAGCAGAAAAAAAACAGCAATTTAATGTTTTTAATACTCTTCACTCTTTAGTTTCAGATTTGAAAAGTGTGATGGCTCTTTACAGGTCTAGGTAGGGGCACTGTCCCCTTGCCCCCCCCCCCTGTATACGCCCAGATTAGCAATCAACCATCAATCAAGTAATCACATAACCAACCAATTAACTAATCAGTAATCACCTAATCACCGACGCCCCGCTTAAGTTTCAACAAGTATATACACTCTATGCCAGTAAACACAGGGCACTCAAATTTTAGCTCAAAAAATAAGTTAATCTCTATCAACATAAATCTGGAAAGATAGAAGGCTGATAACAATGAAAATAAAGAATTAAAAATAAAAAGAAAAGTATGAAAACCTTAACAATGAACAATTCAAAATAAATTTGAATAAGAATAGATCTTGTTCATTTAAATAAAGCGCGTGGAGATTTTTTATTTTTTATTTTATCGAATTTCTTTGTCAAAAAGAAAAAATTATGTTTTTTTATTTTGGGAGAAGGATAAAAAGAATATAAATAAATGTTCCAAAAATATTGTTTTTTGAGAATATTTTAGATATTTCTTTTCAATTCTAGAAATTAAAAACCATCTGAAAATCTTTATTTTTCAATCTGAAGACAGATTTATTTATGCAACGAGGTTTTTTTGCGACAAAAAAGAAAAACGTCGAAATTGACTTAATAAAGTTAATAGAGTCGTGTATGAAGTCTCATCCACATTGATAATTTTATGAATTAACAAAAAAGATTTTTGGAGGTAGATTTCAAGTATGTTATTGCCAGACATCAACATTTTGAATATGAAATTGCCAAAATTAAGAAAGGAATTGAGTCTTTGCCGCAAACTCAAATTTTCAAATCTCTAAATCTTTGCAACCCAATGTACATTAAAATTTTACACCCAAGTTACAAAGTTAAAAGTTAGAAAATTAAAGTTTTGGCAAAGACTCAATTCCTTTTCCAAGAATATAAATATGCAAAGAGGCTTGTGAAATGTTCAGATAAAGGCAAAATATAATCAATATTTAAACATAATAAAAAACAAGTAAAAACTAATACCACATATTTTTAAGAAATAAAAACAAAAGATTATTTTTTGAATAAAACATATGTTGATAAGTAAAAACTGAACAATAGCGACACCCGAAATAATGTTTGGTGTTTAAGGATCTGTAATTGTAAATGTAAATGTATTTTTGATAATTATTTAGAACCGGAATTTTAATTATGCAGGATACTTACATTAATTGAAACTACCAACTTGTTCCAGGGTTAAAAAGAAGGGATGAGACTTTTTAACGAATTAATTTAGTGAAATAAAAGAAATGAGCTTTATTTTAAAAATTAGGAATTTTATAATTACCTCATTTGAGTAGGTAACAGTCATCGAGGTTTTACCCCCACCAAAATATTCTGAAATATATGAAAATGACAACAAATAAAAAAGAATGTTTTTAAGACATTTTTGTTATAAAATAGTTTGTATAAATAAACATATTTTTATTTTAAAAATGTTAAAATAGTTTTTTTAATCATAATTGTGCCTAAAAACAAATTATAAGAGGTCACAAAGTTGTACCAGTAATGTTGCATAATATTCAACAAACTCAAATTTTCTAATCCACATATCTTGGCAACCTAACGGTATAAACCTTTGATATTTCGATTTTTGGCTATTTTTTCTAATAGAATTCATAGTCTGAAATAGCAAAGGTCTACGAAGTCTGGTTGCAAAGAGAAAGGGATAATCAAAATTAAGTTTGTGGCAAAAACTCCTTTAATTTCAAAATGATTTGGGTTGGATGGTTAACCGGGAAAATAATGTAGTCATCCGGGATGTAAAATCTAATGACAACATAAAAAGAGGAAGTAAAACTATAGACTTCAAAGTTGATTTAACTTTTTTAAATCTCAAAATGAATGTTTAAAAACACTTAAAAAAGGATTAGAATAGTTTAATACAAACTTAGAAATTTGATGAATTAAAATTTGCGAATGGTTTCGTTCACCTAATTATAAAAAAAACACCCTTCCCCCCAAAAATTATAGATATTCATTTCCGCATGCAGGTGATCAATTTGCTTTAAAACATTGGGGTCGCGGGGAGGGTTAAATAAAACAGTTTCCATTTTGAATTTTAATGAAAAGTCATATATGAATGCGACACCTTTGCATTCAAAATAAGAGAATATTTAAAACTAAAGAAAAATTCACGTAAGATTGAAACTGTATATGTTTTATATCATAACTCCTCTTATTGAAAACCTATTAAGAAGAATAAAAAGGAATTGAGTTTTTGCCACAAACTCAGATTTTCTAATTTCAATATCTTTGCAACCCGATGTCGTAGACCTTTAATATTTCAAACTATGAATGCTATTAGATCAAATAATGTAAGTTTGAAATATCAAAGGTTTACATCATAAGGTTGCAAAGATATAAATTTTACAAAAACTGAATTTGTGGCAAAAACTCAATTCCATGTTGAATGCGTTTTTATGAAACCGATAAAATATTTGCTTTTCTTACAGTTTTGCGTGAAATCAGAAAAGCAACGGGGTCACATAGTTGTCACAGCAAAGTCAAATGAATTGAACCTTCTCCTCACAGTTAGTTTACACTGAAGAGTTTGCAGCAAGATCTCAGATTCTGTTAAAGAAAAGAATAATGGTAGTTGCATAACATTAAATTATCGCCTATATTTTGGAAATACGTGCAAATAGAGATAAATTGTGTTTTTTAAGAACGAATGATAGCCATATTTTGAATTTAGTATTTTTCTAAATGGCGCTTATGATAAAAAGATTTATCAGTTTTTTTAAAAGTTTTTAATAATTAATTAGAATTTGTTTGAGCGTCTACAGGAATTATTATTTATAATTTTCACGTGGTTGATTCTTAAAGAATATTGACCTCCTTTCAGCAGTACAAAATAAAAATAAAATAAAGAGAAGGATTTGTTTTTTGTTAAAGAATAAAATTCAAATCATTCCTAATAAGTAAATAACTTTGAGTTTGAAGATATATAAATATGGTTCAACAGAAAGCAAAAAATCCTAATTCAGGATTAGAACAATATTTATAAAACTGGGTTCTAAAAGGAAGGCTCAATGAACATTGTATCAAGACATATAGATCACATTGATACCACTAGAATAATAATTCTTATGTTACTTTACAAAGAGAATTTTTGTCTTTCCATCAGTTTTCATCGAATCTCTTTCTAAGTCTATCTATCTATCCTTCTATCTATCCTTCTATTTATCCTTCTATCTATCCTTCTATCTATCCTTCTATCTATCCTTCTATCTATCCTTCTATCTATCCTTCTATGTATCTATCTATCCTTCTATCTCTCCTTCTATGTATCAATCTATCTATTTATCTATTTATCTATCTATCATCTATGCTTGACATCTGCTCTATAGTAATTTCTCTGTCTAAAGATTGTATTTAACTGAAGAAAAATCTGGCTATTTCTCTCTCTTCTCTCTTTTCATTTTATCTCAGTTTTCCAACTTTTTATTCTCTCTCATACTCGGCAAAACCGGGTTTTCTAGGATTTTTTACAAAAATTTATATGCACATTTTAGAGTAATATATATTACTAGTCTTTCAGGGCGATTCGCGCCCATCTTCTATTTCAAAATCAATTGTGAACATTTTCTCCTTGTATAAATTCTAAAACACTTTGAAAATAAACAAAAAATAATTCGCGGATTTAAAAAAAATGTCGTTAATTTTTATAATTTAATGTAGATCGAATTTTGTTAGAGGCAAGTTCTTAAAATTTTGATCGTCCACAAACCTTCCTTGGGGTCAAAATTTGGGCCCGGTTTCGCCGTTTTGAGTTTTTGACGTTTATTGAATACAAACAAACAAACAAACACCATGACAATCAAATAATATATATAGATTATTGTTAAATAAATTCAATTATAAGATTCGTAACTAGTGGGTCAATAATTATCGTTCAATCTCTTTCTCGAACATTGTCATTCAAACATTTTATTCGCGGAATTCGTACCAAAGGATTTGAGTCTTTGATACAAACTTTTGGAGAATATCCTAAATTTTCGCGAAAATTTTCGATAAATCAATTTCGGAAAATTTGAGCCTAAAATATCACGAAAATTTATGATAAAATATTAAGAGATTTGGTATATATGTTAAAAAATTTGATATTTGTAATAGAGTTTATAAATTTTTTTGACGTAAAACTGTTTGCCACCACCCTATGATTTTGCTCTTAGAGTTGAGATAGGGAGCGTGATAAATGTCCGTATAGTCCAACTTTTCAAGGCCTGCTCATTAAAAACAATTAGACCTCTAACCTTAATGGTTAGGTAAGGTTGAAAGGAAGGATTTTAATAAAGTTCAAAAAGTACGTCGGAAAACTGTTCGAAAATAGTTTTTTTTTTACTTTTGAAAGATATTAATACATGTTATTAAATCCATTTTTCAGTGGCTTTACGTTTATATAAATTTTTAGCTCTGTAGCTTAATCAATATTAAAGTAATTAACCATTTGTATTTTTTGAAACACCGGCCCGCCGTTTTGACCTTCCTCCGGCTCCACCCTACCCTATGCATCAAGAAACATTTTTCTTACAAAATTTGTTCACAACTATGAAGTTGAAAAGTGAAGAAGTGTTAGCTTTCTAAAGTAAGCCGTTTTTAGGTTATTGAGAAAAAAAAACACAAAAAACCACAACCCCCCCCCCCCTCCATCGTGATAGGTTTAAGCTAAGCAGTCGTTGCAGAAGAGTTAAAATAAGATTAAAGCACAAACTACTCAGAAAGATATTTTGCCTGAAATTCACTTAGCTAGAACATGCTACCTAGTCATGTTTAAGTCATGTCCAGTTGAACACCATGTATTTGATGAACAAGAGTGTTCACTTAAACAAAAAAACAAGAAATATGTCTGCATTTAATATTTCTAACAATAGAAAAAAATTATCTCCTTTTCCCCAAATGTTGAGGTCTTCGAGGAAAAACTTCCTAATATTTTTAAAACAAAAAATACATCTTTTAGGTTTACGTAAAGAGAATAGAATATAACTCCCTTTCAGGCTGAAAGGGACTGACAAAATTCATACCGAGAGATTGTCTAAATTCCACTCTAATATATATTCTATTCTCTTTGGGTTTACGTGATTTTAAGCATGCTTTTGTGTTTTAAAAAATTCTAGAAAAATTTCATCCTTTTTTCTACAATTTATAGTTTTATATGTCGGGTCGCTTGAAATCACGTCCCGACCCTTTTGATAAAATCATTTCTTTTTTAAAACATTTGAAAAATTCAAATTTCCATAATTTGCCTACTAATAAATTGTTGTCACAGTTTTAAATCCAATTTTGATAAACGTCGAGTTCAGATGCACATGGTTAACAATTTCAAATTCTAAGTAAATATTTTGCTTTGAATTCTCCGTTTTCCAGTTTTTTTCAAAGAAATACAATTTAAATTTTCAGGAATTCAAATCTTTTCAAAAAACATGAAACATTTACAAATCATATTTTAATCAAATGCAATATTTCAAAAAAACCAAAAGCAGAGAAAGAGTTTAATAATTAGAACAAAGAGAAAAATATAAATATAAAAATAAATATAAAATTCTAACCTGAGATTTCAGCAATGCCCAGGGTACTTCGAGGTACCCTTTACCTGCACTTGGTCGTAAATTATAATCTTTGCTCTTTTCCCGTTTAAAGGTGGACACCCACTCAACCTATAGTTAAGAATATCCCATGGTTCTTCCTAATTCTCCAATCAAAATCGGCCATGAGGTTCCTGAATCTGAGCTATGATCAGAAATACAAACTAACAGACAAACAGAGATTGCATCTTCATATATATTTCTTGTTAAATATTTTTTTGATTAAATAGATGGTGTACATGATCAAGCATTCTTGTAAATGCTGATTTTATTTCATAATTTTCAGAACTGTGTACATATGTGTGAGCGTCTGCTCTGTTCTTCTTTGTATGTATTTGCTTTTGTTCAATCCTGGATTTCCTCGCTTGCTGTTGTTTATGTAGTAAATACCTACTCCATAACAATTTATCGAATCCAGGTAGAATCCGTCCGCTATCAAACTCAATCAGGACTAAATTTCAGGCTCTAAATGCCACAAAGGAACATAAGCGTAGCTATCAAAATCCAGCTTCTAATCCTGTGCTCAAAATGCCACACAGGGACACGAGCGTAGCTATACAACAAGCTATATATCGATCCCAAATGATGGGAACGATTCATACTCCATAAACTGCTCTCGAACCCGTATATATCCAGATACAATTAAGTTTCGCTTAGCTATCAATACTAAACCCAAACACAATCTTGCCAGCTATCAATGTCTACATGGACACAAGCATGTAATCCACCAAGGCCAAACCAATGGGCACAATCAGCTCTTAGTCTCTCTACGGACACAAGCACTTAATCAATCAACGTCAAACCAATAGTCAGGATCAGCTATCAATATCTCTCCACGGACACAAGCACTTAATTGATCAACGCCAAACCAATGGGCACGATCAGCTCTTAGTCTCTCCACGGACACTAGCACGTAATCGATCAACGCCAAACCGATGGGCACATTCAGCTATCAGTGTCTCTCCATAGACACAAGCACTTAATCGATCAACTTTTAATGGGGAAAATGGTAGTTCTCTGGGAGCAGGGGAATCTGAGCGCATCACTCCCCAGTGTGCTGCTATATGAGTCGTTCATTTCAAACTAACTTAATTTAGGTTATTATTACGTTCATTAAAAATGTAATATATAAAGAGTTTAAAACAATAACATTCAGAGGAAAATGCCGCAAACATTTTCAAAAGTGAAAATTTCAACGTGAAAGTGTCAAAAATGAGAGTGCTAGGGCAAAAAAATAGCCTGTTTAGGGTTAAAATTGGTATTAAATCAATGTATACTTCCAGCATTCCATCTAGCTACAAGAAAGTAAGGTCAATTCTTAAATTGTTACTGTATTTTAAACAATCAGTAAATAAATAGCTCTTAAAGTTGAGACATGGGAGTGTGAACAAATGTAAAAAACTACATATAATTAGTATTTCGACCAAATATTAACTTGTGACATGTTTTTCAAGGGGTTTAAAAACGTAATTTTAGATCATTAGCTCAAATAAAAAAGTTGATGACTATTCATGATTTTTTAAACACTGACCAGTCTTATGGTCCATCCTGCTTAGGTTTGGATCATTTTCAATTTTTTGAAAAAACGATCGTTTTGTTTTAAAAACGATGAAAAAAACGAAGAAGTTGTTTTTTAGTTTTAAAATTTTAATGATTGTTAACGACCGTTAACGACGACCCTTTGCCAACTATTGTTGACGATGACCCTTCGTTAATGATCATTAAGTCCTATATTCTCAGATCCTGTATTCTCAATTCCTGGATTCTCAAGTCCTGTTGTAGTAGATACTAGATTCTAACAGTTTTTATTTTCAGCAGCAAGAAAAGTTCTTCAAGACCAGGGAAGAGTTCCGAAGGAATCTTTACTACAAATGCGATAAAAACATAAAC